CAGTATTTCATTAGATGCCAAAAAAATCATCTTCAGTATTTCATTAGATGCCAACAAAAACTATCTTCAGCATTTCATTAGATGCCAAAAATAATCCGGAACCTGAGGAAATTGACGTAATTGATGATGAAGCTACAAATACTGAGAAATGACATTGATAACTGCACACATGTTAGTATATATATAATCGTTAATGTGCATGGTTTTCAGCTTTCATACTTCAGTTGAGATACAGTTAAATAAATTATCCAATTGAAATTAAATTGATTTAAAATATTACATCTAAATGTCCTTTGAATTAACTTGAAGAATAGTGACTTGACTCAATATACAGGTTTTACTTTTGTAACAGTAAAGTCACAATAATATTTTCATTCTATCAAAGTGTAATCTAAGTTCTTTGTCATTAAACAAACTATACTTCGTTATTTTGAACAAAACATCATTATACTCAATTTTTAATGTCTGTCCTCCTTTCCTGTCAAGAGTTTGTTTACGGTGCAGTAAAGTTCGTTCCTTTAATTGATATATCTTTCCCAATGCTCAATGACAAATTTGATACATTAATATGTTATCTTTATTTAAGCATGGAAGTATAATACTTTCATGATTTAAGCATATATAGATTCATAATCATGTGCCGAGTAATGACGAGCAATTGTTCTAAAAACAACTCACCGGAATGAAGGAATAAAACAAATGTTTATATATAATGATGATCTCTTCATCTTGTTGCCATGCTGATATTTCTAACAAAACTGCCAATATTTGTCTTCCTTGGTTTAATACACGTTTACAACAATAAGTTCAAAAAAGTATGAAATGATAATTTAGTCAAAATGTCCTTCTTTGTAATAATTGCCCAAACAAGTTTGATGGTTACCATAGCAACCAAATCAAAATTAAGAATTGAATAATATCATTTTACATTAAAGACACAACATGAATACTTCATTTCAGTGCATGGTTTGCAGAAATATTTATAAAATCGTATTAACTCCGTTACCATGTCATCCACATGTATTTTTTCTTCTTCTATTGAATGCACATGTACTTATTCAATATTTAAGATGCTATGTATAACAGTATTATGTATTTTATTTTGTTTGTATTTTGTTTTTGTTTTTTCTTTTCTATTTGTATTAATAGTTTTTGAAGGCCTCATGGAAGATTAACATGTAATTGTTAAATGTGTTACCTTCGTTAAATAAAGAATTTTATTATTATTATTATTATCTTAAAGAGTGGTATACATATGTAATAATTATCATTTAATGATCCGTAACTTCTTTCTTTATTATCAGCAGTTAAACTGTGCGTCAAAGTTTCTGCGAAACTACATGTCCTTATCTATGGGAGGTGTGAATAAGATGCGAGAACTAAAAAAACGTCTAGTGTTACTAGTACTTATTACAAATAAATCCACTAATGCAACCGCAAGTCGAAAAATTTGGATGCATCATGATTATGGGGCCACTTTTCCTACAATTGTTAACTTTACGTTAGAAAATGGCTGATTCAAAACTGTGTGAATCCAAGATCAATATGATAAAAGAATTGGTTACATGTTCAATACACAATATCCCAAATATAAGGGTATAAATAATAGACACAACATCACAAATGTATAGAGTATAATCATAAATATAAAGAGTATACACAAATGACAGACACACCATCACTAATATATAGTGTATAAATAATAAACACAACATCACAAATGTATAGAGTATAAATAAGACACAACATCACAAATGTATGGAGTACATTCACAAATATATAGAGTATTATACACAAATGACACAACATCACTAATATATAGTGTATAAATAATAAACACTACATCACACATATATAGAGTATAATTACAAATATATAGAGTATACTAACAAATATATGGAGTATAAATAAAAGATACATCGTCACAAATATATAGAGTAAAATCACAAATATGTTGAGTATAAATAAAGGACACAAAATCACAAATACAGATAGTATATATCAACAAACTACAGTAACTACTCGCCAAGTAATCTTCAACGAAGAGACTTCTTGTGGAGAATCAAAGAAGGCCTTGCGAAAAATATAGTTCCAGACTTTATGAAATAGAAAGAGGTGAAGAAAATAAATAAACTATTAGTGACACTCAAGGGACTGTTGAAAGAAAGAAAAAAAACCAATTTCAGACACAAGAACCAACATAAACTCTCATATTTAAGTGAAAGCAATACTAACAAACAAAAATGCAAAACAATGGTTAACATCTGATTGAGATAAAATACAAAACAATGGTTAACATCAGATTCAGATGAAATACAAAACAATGGTAAACATCTGATTCTGATAAAATACAAACCAATGATTAACATCTGATTCATATAAAATACAAACCAATGGTTAACATCTGATTCATATAAAATACAAACCAATGGTTAACATCTGATTCTGATAAAATACAAACCAATGGTTAACATCTGATTCATATAAAATACAAACCAATGGTTAGCATCTGATTCAGATGAAACACAAAACAATGGTTAACATCTGATTCTGATAAAATACAAACCAATGGTTAACATCTGATTCATATAAAATACAAAACAATGGTTAACATCTGATTCATATAAAATACAAACCAATGGTTAACATCTGATTCTGATAAAATACAAACCAATGGTTAACATCTGATTCTGATAAAATACAAATTAATGGTTAACATCTGATTCATATAGAATACAAACCAATGGTTAGCATCTGATTCAGATGAAATACAAGACAATGGTTAACATCTGATCCTGATAAAATACAAACCAATGGTTAACATCTGATTCATATAAAATACAAAACAATGGTTAACATCTGATTCATATAAAATACAAAACAATGGTTAACATCTGATTCTGATAAAATACAAACCAATGATTAACATCTGGTTCATATAGAATACAAACCAATGGTTAACATTTGATTCTGATAAAATACAAACCAATGGTTAACATCTGGTTCATATAAAATACAAAACAATGGTTAGCATCTGATTCATATAAAATACAAACCAATGGTTAACATCTGATTCATATAAAATACAAACCAATGGTTGACATCTGATTCTGATAAAATACAATCTAATGGTTAACATCTGATTCTGATAAAATACAAACCAATGGTAAACATCTGGTTCATATAAAATACAAACCAATGGTTAACATCTGGTTCATATGAAATACAAAACAATGGTTAACATCTGATTCATATAAAATACAAACCAATGATTAATATCTGGTTCTTATAAAATACAAACCAATGGTTAACATCTGATTCTGATAAAATACAAACCAATGGTTAGCATCTGATTCTGATAAAATACAAACCAATGGTTAACATCTGATTCATATAAAATAAAAAACAATGGTTAACATCTGATTCTGATAAAATACAAACCAATGGTTAACCTCTGATTCATATAAAATACAAACCAATGGTTAACATCTGATTCATATAAAATACAGACCAATGGTTAACATCTGATTCTGATAAAATACAAACCAATGATTAACATCTGGTTCATATAAAATACAAAACAATGGTTAACATCTGATTCATATAAAATATAAACCAATGGTTAACATCTGATTCTGATAAAATACAAACCAACGATTAACATCTGGTTCATATAGAATACAAAACAATGGTTAACATCTGGTTGATATAAAATACAAACCAATGGTTAACATCTGATTCTGATAAAATACAAATCAATGATTAACATCTGATTCTGATAAAATACAAAACAATGATTAACATCTGGTTCATATAGAATACAAACCAATGGTTAACATCTGATTCTGATAAAATACAAACCAATGGTTAACATCTGATTCATATAAAATACAAACCAATGGTTTACATCTGGTTCATATAGAATACAAACCAATGGTTAACATCTGGTTCATATAGAATACAAACCAATGGTTAACATCTGGTTCATATAGAATACAAACCAATGGTTAACATCTGGTTCATATAGAATACAAACCAATGGTTAACATCTGGTTCATATAGAATACAAAACAATGGTTATCATCTGGTTCATATAAAATACAAACCAATGGTTAACATCTGATTCTGATTAAATACAAACCAATGGTTAACATCTGGTTCATATAGAATACAAACCAATGGTTAACATCTTGTTCATATAGAATACAAACCAATGATTAACATCTGGTTCATATAGAATACAAACCAATGGTTAACATCTGATTCTGATAAAATACAAACCAATGGTTAACATCTGGTTCATATAGAATACAAACCAATGATTAACATCTGGTTCATATAGAATACAAACCAATGGTTAACATCTAGTTCATATAGAATACAAAACAATGGTTAACATCTGATTCTGATGTTTTTGGTATATCTTCTGATCATATACACTTGTGTTATTACACATAAGTCTAACATACTGTTTGATAATTTAAAGAACTTGACCCATCTTTTAGTTATTTCAACACATCATGTTATACAGAATGAGAAAAAAGATTTAGATATATTTGCTTTTTTGTCAGATTCATACGTTTAATTTCTTTCAAAGAGTAGATAGTGGCAAAAATTGACCTAATCATTAAAAATAGTCAAAAGTCATTTAGCAATATAAAAGACAAAGTTGGATTATAGTTAAAGAAACAATAGCTGTGGTATATTGTTCTTATGTAATGGATGATTCCTACATTTGACAACTCAATAAAAATTAAAAATAATTTACACATCATAATGAAATTAACATAACCAAAAAAAGTACAATTGCAATATTTTATAAAGACAAATATTCATAAAACATTTGAAATGTTTACTAATAAGCTCATTGATCAATTAGGAAGTGATAATAATATTTGTTATGAATTTAAATTGTACATAAGAAGAATATGCATTTTATGATTGATCATCAAATTACGAAGTTGATGGATGTGAAAGTCAAATGTTGGTATGGTATAAATATGTGTTCAGAGAGAGGAGAGGACAGACCTGAAAGATTCCTGATCTTAGTTAGCTAGGTATGTACAGCACTAAACACTCCTTCAATATGACTTTTTACTTTCGTGTTTTGACAGTAAGTTTTTTTTAACTGTGTTTATTAAATGCGTTTTTTTTTACCTGAATGGAAATTTATAAAAATATCTAATGTAACACATATTATCTTTCTTGCACTGTTTTTATATATTCCTGCTTGTGAGGATCTTGTAAAAATTCATTGAATTTGATAACACATGAAAAAACGTAGCAGCATGAAATTACACAATTTTGTTTTAAAATGAATTATTTATCTTTAGTTATCTAATATGGTATCAATAATTTTGGCAATTTTTGTCACCATTCGTAGACGTTACACACACTCCTTTACAAATCATGGATACACTAATATTTCAATATAAAGTATATGAATTATGAGATAAAGATTTTTTGAAGTATTTTTATCACACGAAACTCGTACAAAGAGAGTGAAACCAGCAGCGCAAGCGATTTCTGCTCTACTAGTGTTATATGTTGTTCATCTAGTAATAAATCAGTTAACAATATTGTAGGTCCAGCATACCACCATGAAGACAATTCTCTGTTTAATATTTGTTTTCATCGCCGTAAATGCCGCTGGTAAAAGGACATATCGTCCTGCACCATACAACGGGGGAAATGGCTACAATGGTGCTGGAAATGTCTACAATGGGGTAAACGGCTACAATGGTGCACCAAATGGTTACAGTGGTGCACCAAATGGTTACAATGGTGCACCTAATGTCTACACTGGTGCACCAAATGGCTACACTGGTGCACCAAATGGTTACAATGGTGCACCAAATGGCTACATTGGTGCCCCTAATGGCTACACTGGTGCACCAAATGGCTACATTGGTGCCCCTAATGGTTACAATGGTGCAGCACCTGGTGGCAATGGTGGTGGTGGAAGTGGTGCTAGCTACATGCCAGTGGTAAATGGTTATACTGGTAGTGGAGCTCCATATGACCCAGCTGCAGCAAACGGTAATGGGGCTGCATATGACCCACTTGTAGGGAACGGTAATGGACAAGAGGGAAACGGAGCTAGTGTAGACGTTGGCAAATTATTATCAGCTCTAGTTAATGTCCTCGTAGAAAGCAAAGACAAAACACCTGCACAACCAGCATATGATCCATACAATGGTCCAGGCATGCAGATGCCAGGAGGTCCTGGAAATGCACCAATGGATCTAGGCAGACAGATGCCAGGAGGTCCTGGAAATGCACCAATGGATCCAGGCATGCAGATGCCAGGAGGTCCTGGAAATGCACCAATGGATCCAGGCATGCAGATGCCAGGAGGTCCTGGAAATGGACCAATGGATCCAGGCATGCAGATGCCAGGAGGTCCTGGAAGTGAACCAATGGATCCAAGCATGCAGATGCCAGGAGGTCCTGGAAGTGAACCAATGGGCCCAGGAGGTCCTGGAAGTGATCCAATGGATATGGGACAGGGAATGCCAGGAGGTCCTGGAGGTGATATGATAGCAAATGGTGGGCCTTGTGACCCTAATGATCCATACTGTCAAGAGCCATGTGATCCTAATGATCCATCATGTCAAGAACCATGCGACCCTAATGTTGAATACTGTGGTGGTCCTTGTGATCCAAATGATCCTTCTTGCCCACCCGATGCTGGTACAGGCACTGGAGACTTAATGCCATATGATGGTCAAGATGGTCAAGGTGGTCAAGGTGGTCAAGGTGGTTATAATGGTTATGTAAGTAATGTTTCAGTTTCCATCTGTTATCATTTTCGTCATTATATAATTTTCACATTTTCTGAGTTCATAAAAACTTTACCTAAAGTAGAAAGTAGAATTACCAGAATTAATGATTTTGTGATATCACTTAAAACAAATGACGACGTTATGTTTTTTGCGTACGCTTCTCGTTTCTAGAGTTGGCCTAGAGCAAATCGTTTAGGTAATCTAAGAGAAACCATTTTTGGGAGTAATATAACCAAAAGGACCTAAAACGAAATAAAAAAGAGTTCAAATTAAATCCTGTTAGACATATTAAAATGAGAGAAACTTATGATAAGTAGTTTACCAACTATTTTCTTGTCGTCAACAGTTTATCGATATTCAGATTTGTAAAAATGATTTTTATTGCGCAGGGTACATATGGAAAGAAAAAATACGCCAAAAAATATGGGAGCTATGTAAGTATAAATTCTAGTCAGCTGTTGCTATAACTTTTATCAAGACACTTTCAATTAACGATTGAGTTACAAATTCGAGAAAAAATAATTATGTCTTAATATTATACAAAAAAAAAAAAAAAAAAAAATAACAGGAATAAGATCATCATTTGAGATGATTATTTTGCATAAAACTATGATAGAACTACATTTTTTCTAATGTTTAGTATTTTCTAGATGAATCGACATTGTTTTTATTTGCTATTGCAGGGTAAGAAATCTACACCTAAACCATACGCTAAACCTTACGTCAGAACATACAAGAAAAAAACCATTAGAAAACCATATGCCAAGACATATTACACTAAAAGATACAACAAGAAGGTAAGGACATTTTAATGATTACATACAAGGATCGTAATTTAAAGTTCTATATAACGAAAGTGTACAATTTCAAATATATTTACAATTTCATCATGCATTTATTTCACTTATTCGATACAATAAGAATGTTAAGCTAAAAGATAACCAGTATATTAAACCTTACAATGTACTGAATGTATACTCCTCCTTTACGTTTACATCAGCTGTCATTCTCAGCACGAGAGACAGTCTATTGACAAATAGTAAAGAACGGTTGGTGATCAAATCACGATACATTGAATTAATCACAATGTTATAATTTCAATTCTATGTCGATGTATAGAACATCATCTAAGAAAAAAAATAATCGAATAAAACTGACAGAGTGTTTTACTAGAAAAGACACACGTCAATTTTTTTTAGGACATAATAAGACAAACACAAGTCAATCAGTATCGGAATTCAAACTTTTTTGTGTACTTGTTTAAAAAAATATCTAAAGATGAGATTAACGTTTTAAGCGCAAATTTGTAAATTTATATTCACCATTTGTAATATCGATTTTGTTTATTTCAGCCTTATGCCAAAAAACCCAAGGTAAGCGCTTGTGAATTATATTTTTCAAACGTACAAGAACGTTAAAAACATTGCTGTAATTTACTTTTAAGAACGTGTTGGTTAGAGTGTGCATAATAACTTCTATAACTAGTAAACTATACTCTCAAATGAAAATAAGTAAAAACATAGATGAAACAAACAAACAAACAAACAAATGAACAAACATACCAACACACAAATATTTTAACACGCATCAGGGAACGACGAAATCATATACATTTATACTTAACGTACAAGAAACGCACCACTTCTTTTTCTTGTGATTATATCTTTTTTTAAGTATTTACTAAAAATGTATTTGGCCAACAGAGAAAATTACATCTTTATTGCTGATTCTGAATTTATAATAAAACGAATTAAAATGTAAAGTCAACGATTTACCATCTTCCGTAATGTGTGTTTGGTAGAGATGTTAAAAATCATTTTTATTTGGTTGGGGGGGGGGGGGGGGATTTCATTTGGCGTATACAACTTTATTTTAGAATATAATTCATTGCTTATTAGATTATTTCATATTTACCGGCTTTGATTTATTTGATGTCAAAAACAATTTGCTTGAATATCTGACAAATCCATTCATTAGTTAAAAAAACTAAACGGTAGTGGTGTGTATTTTCTGTTGTTCAGTGTATGCACACATGTATTTCAAAAACAAGGACACGTGAGCAATGAATTAACAATTACAACCACTGACTATAACAAACATTTATGCATGCATATGTGTATAGTGCAAACACGTTTGTTTTCAATCACTCCTAAAAATGTTAACATTTTTTTTTAAATTCACCAATATAAATGTTTGGCGAAATAAAGGTGATATTCTGTTTGTATTGACTGAAATCAACTGACTTTTTCATTATTATTTTTCAGGGTGGATATTAAACAGACTATATGAATGATGTTCAGTCATGAAGTACTGTATTATATTGTAAAAGTGTAAATAAACTAATTGCAGCATGTTATTCTAATTGTTTCTTCGCATTCAAATATCAACCCTTATACTTTTCGTCCATTGTCTATAATATTTTCAAGTGTTACCTCTTAAATATTCATTCAAATTTGAAACAAAATAAGTTTCAATACTGTCTTAGGTTTTTAAAGGTTGTCGCATTATCCTGCCAATAAACAAACATGGCTACCGTTACTATAGTGAAATAACTAACAGTTGTAAACAACCACGTGGATCTGCACTTGCTCCCCTCTCTGAGCCGACATGGACTGGTTGGTGGTGAAATACTAGCTGTAAGCACCAGCATTGATCTATAGCTTCGCTTATAAAGTTTACTGGGACCAGTTGTTTGTGAAGTTTGATCTGTTGTACCACTTATAAGAGTCTACTAGGACTAGTAGGTCTGATGAACTGTTCTTATGATTTGACCTCCATGTAAAGCTAAATGTCCGTTCGTGAGAAATGTTCCTTGTGAAATTTTACTAATTTAAACAACATTTTGTCCAAATTCTCGATGGTTCAGTTATTAATTTCGTTTTCAAGGCACTGTCAATCTCCCTACCGTAGGTTTTACTTGGGATTTCTATTTATAAACTTGTTACCACAGGGACAATACAAACTTGTGGTTTCTAGTTCAAAATAGATCGCTTGATCTAGCTTGTCAATATGATCAATGTATATTTGTATCGGCATTATGGATAAATTAAGATTTTTTTTTTCGTTATGTAATGTTTGAACCAAAGGACATATAATTGATTCTTGTAATTGAGTCAATTCGGAATTCTATAAAATGAATTGAAACAAAATAGCTCCGATACCATCAAACGAACAAAAAATCCGAGAATATAGAAATAGTTTTGAAATTGTTTTGTCCATAATGATGCCACATTTCAAACCGACATCTGATGACCGAAACCAACACCCAAGATAGCCACTACCACCGAACCTAGTATTTGCTTGGAAGTTTGTTAGTCTGATAATATTTTCGTTATAAATTTTGCGATTCATTTATGCAAATTTTAGGGCCAATATTGGTCCCTCTAAAACCTGTTCCTTTCTCTCTCAATACAGACACTCACTCCCTAGGCTACTATAGATTGATTCTTTATAACTTTGCTTATCACATATGGTTTTGTCATCTATTGATCATAAATCCCAGAGAGCCTATGCCGGTGAAAAGAAAATTTAATTGTTATACAGTAGGATATCAAAAAACAATGAAATTGTCTGGATTCCTTCCTTTTTACATACCATTCTATTATCGATGATCATAATAATAAGTCATGAATAATTATTATTTTTTTCCTCGTTTATGGTACCACCGAATGAAATTATGAAACTAATCAACGTACTAGGATATTAAGTAGAAATCTTCCTACAACCAGGGTATTTGACATCGTAGTCACCCAAATCAGCCTATTAAAACACAAACAAACAGTCTACATTTATCATTTATGAACCACACATAAACAGAAATTGCCGTGTTCGTGCATCACTCAAATATTATAATAAGTTTCTAATTATCTATTATAAGTTTCAAGATATAAGGCAAATACGTAAAATATTGGTAAAAATTGTCACCAAAGGGCAATAACTCTAATAAGGAGACAACTGTTTAAAGTTTCTGTCTATATATAATTATAGTTTTCAAGATAGTAGGCAAAATTAAAAAAAATGGTAAAATTCGTCATTTAAGGGCAATAACTCCTATAAGAAGTCGTCTGACAGTTTTGACAAATATGGACAATTGGAAGAGCACAACATTCTGAACATTTCTGCTACTGTCAGATTTTCCCTAGTTATAACTGTTTTCAAAATAATAGACAAAACTTGCATTTTACCCCTATTTTCTATTTTAGCCATGTCGGCCATCTTGGTTGGCAGGCTGGGAATCGGACACATTTTTTCAACTACAAAAATGAATATACCCCAATGATGACTGTGGCCAAGTTTGGTTAGATTTGGTTCAGCAGTTTCAGAGTAGAAGATTTTTGTAAAAGGTAACGGACGACAACGGACGACGGACGCCAAGTGATGAGAAAAGCTCATTTGACCCTTTGGGCCAGGTGAGCTAAAAATGTACCGTCACCGATCACTTTAGAATTATGAAAAGTAGATACCAGCATTAAAATAATGTACGCCAGATGCGCGTTTCGTCTTCAAAAGACTCGTCAATGACGCTCGAATCAAAAGAGTTAAAAAGGCCCAAAAAAAGTACGAAGTTGAAGAGCATTGAGATTGAGGACCCAAAGTTCCAAAAGGTTTAGCCAAATACAAGTACGGTAATCTATCTAAAACTAACTGTTAGGTTATTTTTCACTGCAATTTGAAGATGATTTTTTTAAAATAATTTATCAATACTATTATTTAACATTTAAAAATTTCATTTATTCCATAAATCAGGAATTTAATTTGACAGAGATGGTGCTGAGAAATGAGGGTCATATGCCTAGTTGTGTGTCTGCCATATTTGTTTTGCGTTTATTGTTTTTATTATTAACCAGGCTGTTGGTTTTCTCTTTTAAACTGGTTCTCATTTTGTCATGCCGGTTTTCTTTTAATATAGCTTACATAACACCTCCTTATGTTGTAAAGGTTGATATTTACTATAATAGCGCAATCTTTAATCTTTATAATCGAAATGAAAACATCATAGTTGTAAATTCGTTCGTTAATTCATTTCAGATTCCCGTACGTGGTTTTACAAATTGTGATTTGGAGGAGAGTTGTCTCATTGGCACTCATACCACATCTTCTTATATCTAATTAAGGTCACCAATTGGTTTCTTTTTAAAACCGTCATGAGTTATATTGAGGGTCCATCTTGTTACGCTTTATGTTAATTATTCTTTTACTTTCAAATCTTTTTAGTATAATTAAATTTATTTGCATTTTTGGTCGTTTTTCGTCTTTTGTCAGTTTGTTTTTTGACTTATGAGTTTGGATATCCTTGGTATCTTTCGCCTCTCTTTTTTCAATATATCATCTGATTATATACATTTTTAAAAATGCGTATGATTACCATTTTACAGGTTTATGTTGACATACAAATAATTACGTTTTAAAGGGCATTAGCTGTCAAATTCATATTCACCGTTTAACTCAAATTCTCATATTTGATTTATAACATACTTAAACGTATAACCAAATTACGAAAAGTCTAAAATAAACAATAAACATTGCTTGGACTCGATAATATTTATCAGTATTTCGTGTATATTTTAGTCTCGACGCCAAGACTGCCGATGGTCATATAACCCGATATAAACATAAATATAAATATAAATAGATAGCGACCACGTGCAATTGGATTTTTCTAGGTCTGTTTGATTTCATGTTATAGGACTGGTTAAAAAAATATGGTAATCATCGTTTTTACCTGTATAAGAATGTTTTTTTGTGGTTCGAATCAGTCAACGAAATGATTAACCCTTGTTTCACTTTCAATGTTGACATTCTTTTTCCTTTAATAGCTGAACACGCCTATTACATGCATAACCCATCTCCAGGTAAGGGGTTAAATTGAAGTTCACATGAATATGGATTCACATGAGGTCGAATTAATCACCTGCAAGTCAATAACACATAAACGATGTTTTTGGGCTTATTTTGACAAACTAGTGTCAAGCTAACTGCTTAAAACGAAATATTTTTTGAAGATTCCGCTTTTATTAATACTTAAAACAAAACAAAATATATTTTAAATTTTTGTCAAAATTGTAGCTATTGCCCGTTTAATGTTGATCAGTTCGATGACATCGATTTGTTATGGTAATACATCGAACAATGGTATATTGAAACACAGATACCTAAAAAAGTAAGCCACAAGTTTAAATTTAAAGGGGACACTTATTTTGCTTAACTTAGGAGGCAAGAGGACTTTGAAATTTTGAAAATGGTTGTTCATACAGAATGAAAATAAACATTCATACAGTATTGTCTAATATAGGCAACCTCAAATCAAGATTTTTTTCCGTTTCATGGAAATAGTAAATGTCAAATAATTATAAATGTCTCAACTTAAGTTACACGTAAATTTAGTAAAAAATACAAGTTATTTTTTTCACAAGAAAAATACAATTGAACCCAAAAAAAAGGAGACCTTTAAGACAACACAGTCGAAAGATAAATCATGGTGTTTGTATGGCATATGACCAATTATAATATTCAACTCATCATTGTGATCCGCCCAATTCTCACTTCAAACCAACGGTACAGTTGCATCTAAAGCAAAACAAATTCAGTTTGACTATTTTTAAATTTTCTGTTTTTCCATTTTTATTTCGCCATGGAATTATGATTAGATGTTTCGGTGTTATTTGTGTCATTGGAGTGTACAATGTAACTTCATTTTTTTTTCGTTAGGACTGAAACGATTTTTATCAAGGTCCAGAGGTAGTCGGCCTAGAAAATGAAAAATGAAAATATCAGCCTGAAACGTCGAAATGGAATTAAAAATGCGAAATCATATGTTATAGCACTATGTCAAGGGTTCTTTGCACAATAAACAATTTATATGTAAGTTAATTTTAGGTTACTCTAAACTGTCCATATCGTACGAATAATTTATAACAGCACACATAAGAACAAACCAAAAAAATCAGATTTAATAGATCGGCTTAACCATATTTCTTAAAAGGGATTACGAGTATATTAACCAATCAACATTTGGTTGCAATTGGTCTTTCCCATGATTTTTCAGAATATTTTATTGAATTATTGTTTCCAATTTCTTTTTTTAATAATAAATGAAAAAGTGTTCGAGAGCAATTGGTTTTTACTTATTCTTTTTAAGTATATTTCATTTATTCCTACCCCATATTTTAAAAGTTTCAGGTTTTTTTAGTGGACATTAAACAGCAAAATACTTGTAAGGTTTACATTACCTGAGTGATCTGTAAGGTTTACATTGCCCGAGTGATCTGTAAGGTTTACATTGTCCGAGTGATCTGTAAGGTTTACATTGCCCAAATGATCTGTAAGGTTTACATTGCCCGAGTTGTCTGTAAGGTTTACATTGCCTGGGTGATCTGTAAGGTTTACATTGCCAGAGTGATCTGTAAGGTTAACATTGCCCGAGTGATCTGTAAGGTTTACATTGCCCGAGTGATCTGTAAGGTTTACATTGCCCGAGTGATCTGTAAGGTTTACATTGCCTGAGTGATCTGTAAGGTTTTTTATTGCCTGAGTGATCTGTAAGGTTTACATTGCCCGAGTTATCTGTAAGGTTTACATTGCCTGAGTGATCTGTAAGGTTTACATTGCCAGAGTGATCTGTAAGGTTTACATTGCCCGAGTGATCTGTAAGGTTTACATTGCCCGAGTGATCTGTACGGTTTACATTGCCCGAGTGATCTGTAAGGTTTACATTGCCCGAGTGATCTGTAAGGTTATCATTGCCCGAGTGATCTGTAAGGTTTACATTGCCTGAGTGATCTGTAAGGTTTACATTGCCAGAGTGATCTGTAAGGTTTACATTGCCCGAGTGATGTGTAAGGTTTACATTGCCCGAGTTATCTGTAAGGTTTACATTGCCTGAGTGATTTGTAAGGTTTACATTGCCCGAGTGATCTGTAAGGTTTACATTGCCCGAGTGATCTGTAAGGTTTACATTGCCCGAGTGATCTGTAAGGTTTACATTACCCGAGTGATCTGTAAGGTTTACATTGCCCGTGTGATCTGTAAGGTTTACATTGCCCGAGTGGTCTGTAAGGTTTATATTGCCCGAGTGATCTGTAAGGTTTACATTGCCCGAGTGATCTGTAAGGTTTACATTGCCAGAGTGATCTGTAAGGTTTACATTGCTCGAGTGATGTGAAAGGTTTACATTGCCCAAGTTATCTGTAAGGTTTACATTGCCTGAGTTATTTGTAAGATTTACATTGCCCGAGTGATCTGTAAGGTTTACATTGCCCGAGTGATCTGTAAGGTTTACATTGCCAGAGTGATCTGTAAGGTTTACATTGCCCGAGTGATGTGTAAGATTTACATTGCCCGAGTTATCTGTAAGGTTTACATTGCCTTAGTGATTTGTAAGGTTTACATTGCCCGAGTGATCTGTAAGGTTTACATTGCCCTAGTGATCTGTAAGGTTTACATTGCCCGAGTGATCTGTAAGGTTTACATTACCCGAGTGATCTGTAAGGTTTACATTGCCCGTGTGATCTGTAAGGTTTACATTGCCCGAGTGGTCTGTAAGGTTTATATTGCCCGAGTGATCTGTAAGGTTTACATTGCCCGAGTGATCTGTAAGGTTTACATTACCCGAGTGATCTGTAAGGTTTACATTAACGAGTGATCTGTAAGGTTGTGATCTGTAAGGTTTACATTGCCCGAGTGATCTGTAAGGTTTACATTGCCCGAGTGATCTGTAAGGTTTACATTGCCCGAGTGATCTGTAAGGTTTACATTGCCTGAGTGATCTGTAAGGTTTACATTGCCTGAGTGATCTGTAAGGTTAACATTGCCTGAGTTATCTGTAAGGTTTACATTGCCTGAGTGATCTGTAAGGTTTACATTACCCGAGTGATCTGTAAGGTTTACATTGCCCGAGTGATCTAATGCTAGTTTTACTTTTTTGAATGGTGATGTTCCTTTGCTCCCTTCTTGTTTCGGTCTGTATATTTCTCGTATATATATAACTCATTCGCTATCACGTGCCTGGCATGAAGTTTTAGATTATGTAGCGACGTTTTAGATTCGTAAGAGACGTTTTAGATTGCAATGAAAGTAATCTAAAGTTGTATTTATACATATATAAATTTTTACTTAAACAGTTCTTTCATATATACACATATTTGGTTCGGATGAACTTCTAGAATTCTTATAAAGACGGGATATCAAGTCCTTATTTATACGGTAATGTCGTTTATAAAGGACATGGATTGAAATACGATACACGTAAACTTATTAATCCTTTGAATAAACTTATTCTTAAAGGATATCATTTTAATACCATAGTAAAGTCTATGAATATGGTTTTTGTCGGTACTAACTTTTGATAGATTAAGACATAAAGTACTAAACAAGTATTGCTTTACAATTATGAAAACTATAGTCTTTAAAAATCCTGTTGATATTATATAGAAATAAGAAGATGTGGTATGAGTGCCAATGAGACAACTCTCCATCCAAGTCACAATGTGTAAAAAGTTAACAATTATAGGTCAAAGTACGGCCTTCAACACGGAGCCTTGGCTCACACCTAAGAGCAAGCTACATGTATAAAGGGCCCCAAAATGACTCGTGTAAAACAATTCAAATAGGAAAACCAACGGTCTAATCTATATAAAGAACGAGAAACGAAAAACACTTTTGAACCACATCAACAAACAATACCACTGAACAACAGGTTCCTATCTTAGGACAGGTGCAAACACGTGCAGCGGGTTTAAACGTTTCAACAGGCGCCAACCTTCACCCTAACCTGCAACAGTAGTGTAACATTGCAACATAGAAAGATACACTATGAAATATCAATTGAAATGGCTTAACTCGATCAAAAAGATATGTTAACAAACACAAGTAAACATACACTGAACGAATAAATTTGATCTATGACACAATATAAATACAATATTAATAAAAAGAAGGGGAGGTAAAACAATGTCAACAAGCATTCTGTAAGTATTGCTTGGCAACACATTGTCCACTACCGGTTAAAAATTCATTACACTAGAACAAAATGCTAACTTGAACTATAACTTGTCATGGTGTAAACTATATAACTATAAGTCAATATCTTTAAGTATGACGAAAAAAAATGTGGAAAATTGATTATTTGAGTGAATTTTTTAAGTCCAAGGACCATAACTCTGCACAAAATCATTAGACCGGACCAAAACTCGAATTTGTCATGATAAAACTATATGACAATCGTCAAATCAATATCTTCAAGCATGACCAAAAAAAAGTGCGGAAAACTGATTACTAGTATTTGAGTGAATTTTCTAAGTTCAAGGACCATAACTCTGCACAAAATCGTCAGACCGGAACAAAATTCGAAATTGATCTGTAACTTGTCATGATAAAACAATACCCCAAATATCAAATCAATATCTTCAAGCACGAAGAAAAAAAGTGTGGAAAACTGATTTGCCGGACTGACGGATGGACAGACAGACAGACAGACAGACGGACGGAGTGCAAACCTTAAGTCCTCTTCGACTTCGTCGGTAGGGGACTAAAAAGACAACTCTAACCTGGGACAAAATGGCGTTAAATAAAATAACGAACACAGGTAAATTTAAATATAATAATTTTTTTGTTAGGAGTACGGAAATATTTTTTACAAAATAAATAAATTTGTTGTTTATAGTACGAGTACAGAAGTGAAAATTTATCGTCATACTAAATACTTATCAAAGGTGGTACATATTAAAAATAGTGAGACGAGTTATAACACAAAATAAGTAAACATTGAATAACAAAAATGCAATAAAAATTGTGTCAACAGTTCTATACTTGTATTTAGACATTGCACAAGGTACTGCTTTTCCCGAAAACATGAATTATCTATCAGTTGTTATTTATTTTGAACTATTAACTCCGAGTACTCATAAATCGGCTATTTTATTCTCTTTTTGTTAGTTGTTCTAGTGCTTCGTGCCGATTTGATTAGGCACGCCACTTTCAACTAAGTTTTACAGTTATTTTTATGTTGTGCTGTTACACCATTGTCCCAGGTTATGGGAGGGTTGAGAGATCACAAACATGTTTAATCCCGCACATTATGTATTTGCCTTTCCCAAGCCAATAGCCTCTTATCCAGTGGTCGTCATTGTTGCTTTTTATCATATCTGTTTTCGTTTATTGTTAAGTAATAAATCAGGCTGTTTTTTTTGTTTTTTTTTTAATGTTTCACATTTTATTATTTCGGTGTTTTATAGCTGCCTATACGGTACGAGTTTTACTTATTGTTTTCTTATAATTACTTACATCTATGTCATTTGGACTATGTTGTATAATTGTCTCATTGGCAATCGTACTACATCTCCAAATTTTATATTGTAAGTGAAAAAAGTCTCGTTTATTTTTTTATTTTTTTTACATTCGTCATAAGTATTGATATAGTTTACAGGACAACGTTTTAGCAACAAATGTATTTAATCAAAATGAAGCTACATTGCATGTTCTTTGAATTGATTATTTCAAAGCAGTGCAAGACTTTATATTTCTTCAATGATAGGTTTATATATTATATACTCTCGTCGCTTGTGACTTCTAAGTCTGATTCTTCGTCTTTCTTCTCGGAACATGTTTCAACCTCGGTGCTATCAGATTCAGAGCTATCTTTCATACAAAAATTTTCACAAGCCTGTATGCCAACGTTGTGAAACCCCTTGTTATTCCGCCGTTCACTGCCGATTGCAGGTATTACTGCTGTCCCATTTGGTTTTGAAACAAATCGATCCCGTCGCAAAGAATTTTTCCCTTTGCACTTTGCTTTCGCTTTGGGAGAAAGCTTAACAGGCGGAAGTGGTAGTGATCTCAGAGTTGATCGACGTGGAGGAGGGAAACGCTCTTTATCAAAAATGTCGGTTACTGTATCGAGCGATCTTCTTGGAAAAGCAGATCGATCATACCCAGTTTCCTGTCGGGTAGATGATAATCCTTTCATGAACTTTGCAAAAGTGATAACCTTCTTAAATCTTCTTTTCGCTTCTTGATGTCTCTCGAATGGCAGCAAGTCGTCAAGCGCAAAGCCATTCTTCTCCAATAATTCTTCTACGGTCAAATCATTGACTGGGTCGCGTACGTACAAAGAGGCCTGCCCTTGTTGAAACAAGATCCTAGCACAGGAAATAAATCCATTTCTAGCAGCCATAACAATGGGTGTAAAACCCTCTTTGTTTCCATGATCAACTTTCAAACCTAGCCTCCGGAAGTGTCGAACCAAGGAATTGGTTCCTATATCATTACCAACCATTGTACAGTACAGTAATGGACTGTTACCTGAAGAAGAGGAAACGGCATTAATATTTGCTTTTGGTATCATGCTGTTAAATAGTTGAATAAAATACCTTTATATTATTACATATTGTTTCTTCTTTATAATAAAATTATATGTGAAAACAAGGAACAGTTTTAGAACAGAGGCTAAAATCACTAACCAGACGTACTTTAAAAAAATATCTATAGAAAGTATTTGAACTTGAAAAAAAAACGTCTTTTAAGAAAATTCAGAGAAATTGGTAAGAAATTGTGAAAGCCTTTATATTTCTTTGTGTGATTCAACTTTTAATTTCTTATAATTTTAAAATGTATTCTATGCCAGCACGAATACATTCTTCAGAATTTTCTAATCATTTCATTTGTAATTGCAAAATAAGCATTACAAGAAATCAATTTTTTTTATTTTGAGTTTGATTTTTAAGTCAGCCAAATAACTAGATAAATAAATGAATGAAATTTAATGACCATTAAGTAATTCTATTGTACGATTTGGAAAACTTGTATTGTATTTTTTTTCTTACTGCATCGTGCATTGTACCTTTTATAAATGCATACTATATCAAATCATCGAAGATTTAAAAGAAAATGACAACTGTAATACATGTATTAGAATTGTCAATGTTCTTTGTGCCAGAAGTGATAACTTATACCAAGATACGTAATCTTCTAGATTAATGACATGTTGCAACTGCATCGACTGTAAGCTTATGTCTTGAGGGGCATTGGCTACGATTTAGACAAAAAAAAAGTAAATTATGATTTTTTCCTGTTTCAAACGTTTATAAAAACGGAATAATGAAATACTACTTCGCTTTTAGTAGTCAGTTTGGTTCAGTTTTGTCAAAATAAGCCAAAAAAACATTGTAAATGTATTATTTGCTTGCAAGTTAATAATTCAACCTTCACGCAACCTTTAATTTGACACTTACCAAGAGATGGGTTGCGCATGTGTTAAGCGTGTTCAATTATTTAAAAAAAAACGAATGTCATTACATTCGGCCAACAAAAACAATCACTGATGTACAGGTAACATGATGATTTATATTTTTTTTAATCTCTAACATAAGATATCAAACAGACATAGAAAAATCATCATAACACGATTGCACATGTTTGACTGTCTATCTACATTGATATTTATGTTTATAACGGGTTGTATGACCGTGGTTAATTGGAATAGCGTCGAGTCTAAAATACACACGAAACGCTTATACATTATAACGATTCCATGCATTATTAACAGTCTCTTTTGGACTTTCTGTAATTTGGATATACGTTAAAGTATGTTATATCTCAAATATTTAAGTTAAATCAGTGATCAAAATTTGACAATTGACATGCAGCTAATGCCCTTTAATTCTTCATGTTTGAATTCTAACAATTCGATAATTTTATAAATAGTTGAGCCTTTTAAAGGTTAACATATGCGTTGTAAAAAAATGACAATTGTTATCTTTAATTTTTTTTTTTAGATTAAACTGACTGGTGCCCCCACAAACTTTTAACCAATTCATAAGCATAATTGCCATCTATATCTAAAAAAAAATTATGCTGTAAATCCAAGAATTTGCTCCTTTATATTTGACTAATAAGCAATTCTGATTACTACAATAAGTGTCTGATATAAATTAACATGACAAAATAAAGAATTGAGCATGTATAAAATGCAGACAAGCATTCGAAAAAAAAAAGATAGCTTCAGAGTTCAGTTACAAGGTTGTTGTGATTCAACGTTACTAGTACTAGTAACCAAATGTTTTGCACTCATTATCTGTTCTGATATGAACTAGTTATAGAATTATCTTTTCAGCAAAGTACGTTTAAAACTGTCCTTTCACAGGACATGTTTTTCTCTTCTTTTCTAAATTATACTCAAATTAAAGATTGCCTATAGCCATCCCCTATAAAAGATTGTCTACAGCCATCCCCTATAAAAGATTGTCTATAGCCATCCCCTATAAAAGATAGGTAAAACGAATTTCTTTGCAGTAAATTCATCCATCAGACAGCATTATACTCGCTCATGTACATCTTCAACTGACATAGGAGGTCTCATCTAACTAGTTCATCTACTGTATTACTAGCCTGTCAGCAGTGAGGTTGTGAGTTGGAACCCCGCACGTTGCAGGTGCGTTCGACTCTAAACTTAATTGACTTGGATTGTCAGCTTTCCTCCCGAAGGTCGATGGTTTCTATCTGGGCACTCCGGTTTCATTCACCAATAAAAACTGACTGCCACAATATAACCAATAGTGCTGAAAGTGGCGTTAAACATCATATATCAATTAATCAATCAATCAATCAAATGACATATTTCACTCAAATACATCAAGTTATCTCGAAATCGTTTATCAAACTAATGACGGAGCACGTCTTGTGTCCAAATAAATCGGTTTCATAATGTGTTATAGAAATGTTCGGGAAGACCGACATCCATGTTCTACGCTGACAATCAAATAGGATGTGGCGTAACAAATTTCGAGATATTCTGAATTTGATTTTGTTTTGAACTTGTCAGAAAGCAGTTTTAGAAACACTGTAAATGATATCAAGACCCAACTTTCGATTGTGTGAGAGAAAAGGGGGTTTTTGAAATTTTAAAATCGTTGATTCCGTATACTTGTATGCAAGAATTTGCATAGTACTAAACAAATCCTTGGTATATGGAATTATATTTTTCTTCTAAAAAATCGTTTCCCCCTCTCTACTTATTTCTTTACACGTGTCTTCTATTTTGTTTTCTTTGCCGAATGACACCCAAACGTTTTAGTCACAATTACATACATGTTTTGTGTACTAGTATAACTCTTGTAGATTCAATAAACAGTTTGCATTTGCTCACAGTTACTAAAGTACTTAGATTGTATCCTTATATAGAAATCATGCAGCCTTTCGTTCTAATATCGGCCGCTGTACCTTGAAGTAGATTTTTTTTAAAGTAACGTCGTGAACCGTTCGTATTGTACTAACCTTTATCGTCTGTCGTATCAGGATCTATGTCTCTGTGTTTCACAAAGATTTCTACAAGGTCGTTACATCTTTTTTCACAAGCGTAACTCAGTGGTGTTCTACCATTGTCATCTGCAAGGTTGACGTCTCCCCCATGAAACAGTAAAAGTCGGGATACCGAAGTGCGTCTCAACTCCTCCTGTAAAGTTAAAATTGATACATCAAAAACTAACGACATTCTTTAATTTATCTATTTTTATAACATCAAGTGATTACAAGATAAACGTAATTAAACGAATAAAAAAAAACAATTATGACCTCGGTTACTCTCCAAGAACAATGTATGCTTGGTGACTTGGATAGAGAGTTGTCTCATTGGCACTCATACCACATCTTCTTATATCTATAATTGTTTGTTTAGGTTTTTTTTTAATGAGCTACTTCATTATTATCAAATTTATTATATCTATATCGCTTTTCATCTTATTTTATTACAACTTAATTATTTTACGTATACACACCTTAATAGTACATGCTACAATTAAGGGAGTTTTCCCATTGAAATCCCTGGCATTAACAATATTTCCTGGAGATGCCTCAAGAATAAACCTCACTAAGTGTTGTTTTCCTTTTCTAATAGCATCGAACAACATTCTCCCATCCGTGTTATCATCAAATTTTTCATCGTTATTTGACATCAGGTTTACTAAGGAACGGAGGTAGAAAAAATCAAATAATTCACCTTGATGGTTTGAATGTTTCTGGTACTTCCTTACATTGCTGGTCATTTTTACGCCCACTTTAGCTCAAATGTTTTGTACACTTCCAAATTTTCAATCAGAGGGACAGAGATCGCCATTATTTCCCAAATAACACGTCAGAAAACATTAAGGCTTAGTACAATTATACTTTACACGCTATAACTAAATGTGATTTTCATTTTACTAATGCAATATAAGAATGTATATTTTTCCCGTTTCTTTGAGTCAACAATAAAATATATTAAATCACGATTCTACTTTACTGTAAACTCTTGACTTCTTATATCTTCAATTAACATGATTACTTATATAAACATCACAGTTTTGTGAAAAATGTAACATATATAATCAACAGAATTTTAGACAAAAATCTTTGTTTACCAATAAACTTTTCTGATTTTTTTCTCCTATTTTCCAATCTCCAACGGTTACAAAGAAAACTTTTATCCAGAAAATACATTTATACTTTTTACCGTCTTGAAAGTCGATTTAAGTTTTATAAAATTGTCAATCTCTTGAAATGATATACAGATAACCCAGTGTGAATCTGAAAAAAATATACCTTGTTTATCTGTGATATATCATTGCATGTTTCTCAGATTCTAAGTTAATATGAAGTAGGTGTTACCTGTGAAAAATACGAAAGATGGTTAGAGTCAGGGTGTAGTTTTATTTTGAAGTCGTTATAACGACTTAGCTAACTCGTTATAACGACTAACTTACTCGTTATAACAACTTAGCTCATTCGTTAAAACGATTTAGTAACTCGTTATAACGACTTAACTAACTCGTTAAAACAACTGAGCTAACTCGTTATAACGACTTAGTAACTCGTTATAGCAACTTACCTTACTCGTCATAACGACGTAACTCGTAATAACAATTTAGCTAACTCGTTTTAACGACTTAGCTACTTTCTCAATTCCAGGACTTTACAATACAACCTTATATTTTGGTCTTGATTTATTTTCGATTGTTTTCTTATTTATAGATTTCTAAATTTTGACATAGTGCACATTAATTAGAAATAGAAGTTTGAAGATGTACAATTGCAAAAAAGAAATTGAAGATGAAATACATTTTGTAGATAATGTAGAACTTTATAGTGGTGGCAAATTTAAAGACATTTACTGATAAATATAAATTGTTTAATTTGTCTTGACGAATTGTTCAAACGGAAGAGGTAAATCACAGAAGCCTATTTTTCTGGTTCGCTTAGTTTTATCAGTAGTGGATCAAAGTACTTTTAAAAAGAGGGAGTGGTTACATGTTAATAAGGGGAGGAGGAAGGAGAAAAACTTTAGGAATAAGAAGATAATCAGTAAAAGTCTTCGTGCCGAATTGAAAGTCCAGCCTTTTCCAACTTGTTTTTACATTTTGTATTTTATGTATTGATGCTACACCACCGTCCTGTATTTAAGGGAAGGGTTAAAATGTTAACACCGCCGCATCCTCAATGTGACTCAACCTACTTTGGAGCTCTCGTCGACATCATAAACAGACGAACTAGGGAAAACTAAATTGTCTATATAGATAACTGTAGCAGATGGACATTTGGAACATAAATTATCGATATCGACTCAATGTCGTCAACATTGTCGATATCGATATTTTAAACAGACAAACCTGGAGAAACTAAATTGTCTATATAGATAACTGTCAGATAGACATTTGCAACACAATTTATCGATATCGACTCCATATCGTCATCTTAAACAGTCGAACCAGGAGAAACTGAGTTGTCTACATAGATATCTGTAGCAGATAGACATTCGGGATATAATTTGTCGATATCGAATCTATGTCGTCGATATCGACAACTGAATATAGTGTAAACTCATTGAAAGAACAAATCAGTTGAGGAAAATTTTAAAAGTCTTATTTGAAATTGTACAACATATCCATATTATTACATTACTAAAATTCGCCGTGATATAGCCTTTTGTGCTGATGCGGAGTAAAGCAATCACCAATCAATCAATTACATTACTAAATAGCAAAAGTAACGAAGAGCATAAACTAAAGTAAATGAAAAGAATAGATAAAACCATAAAGAAATTTTCTAAATGTTGATAAGGAATCGATATTGTTGATATCGACAGCTTAACAGACAAACAAGGAGGAACTAACTTGTCTTTATGGACAACTTTTAAAACAGTTTAATCAGAAGAAACGTATAATTTGACTGACAACATCGAATCTATATAATAAATCGAATCTAACAATAAAAGTAGTTGTTATTTTTAAAGAAGTATTGGTGATTCAAAATAGTCCAAAATATACAAAAACTTATGCATATGGCACGGTAATTGTTAATTTGGTACGTCCAAGGTGATTTTCTTTATTTACCTCCATCAGGAACGCTCATACTCAAAAATTAGAATGACATGGATGCATAAATACTTGAAAACTTGTGAAGCTACATGTATATGATCTAAAGGGGTCTACAAATAACTTGATCCTTGAGGAGCTACATGTATATGATCTAAAGGGGCCTACAAATATCTTAATCCATCCAAGGTCAATTTTACCTGAGGGAGTTGAAACTTTAATTTCTTAATCGTTTTATTTATATTTATGAATGGAGAATTAAAGAAATGTAATTCATGATATAAATTATATCAATACCAATTTGGAAGCATTGATATCTGTCAACTGTGATAACATCCAAAAAAATAAAAATAATAAAAGCCTGGTCCAACATATTTTGCACTGTACATCGCATATTCCAGCGAAAATCATAATTAAAAAACATCTCCTTGAATGTGAATATTTCTAAAAGTAATTTCGCTTTTCACTCAAAATAAATGTGTCAAAGTTCTTACTGAACTACTTGATATAAATGTAAGGGGATTATCAAATGTTGCGTCTTTAATTAACAAGACCTACCGAAAAAAAAACACAGCAGATTCACAAATTCGGTTCTCCCACAACTTCATACCTATTTATACAAACAAAGCAAAGTCCATGTTTTGCAGTGGGGAAATATGATTGATAAAACTAAATAAGGAAAAACAGATAAAATAAAACTACTCTTTATATAGACATGGTACCGTCCATGACTTTAGGAAATCAAAAACTGATTGTCTTCAAAAAATGAGATGAAAAGTGTACCATCACATCATTTGAAACAGATTCTGCGAAAATTTGATTAAAATCTAGGAAGCTGTCTAGAATGATTCATTATGCTTACACCTTTTTGTGGATGTGGCGGTTTTTTTCTGTTTTGCTTTGAATTCACCAAACAAATATTCAGAAAAAAATTTGAGAGCACAAAACATTATGACAGAACCAATCCGTGAAAGGTTCATTAAAATCTGGTTATCAGTTTAAGAGAGATTATGAACACAATATATATATACCCACTTATGTAGATATTATTACGAAGCTTTTTTTTGTATTTTGGAAAATCCAAAAAGTCATTCATGACAGAAAAAAAGTATTAGTAAGAAAAATTGATATCTATCAACACAGAAATACTGGTTCGAAGAGTTACATAAACCAAACAATCCCATTCAGATCGACATTTAAATAAATGCACCACAATCTAGTTATCTTAGAGACATTCTGTGAAAGTTTCATCAAGACCCAGGAAGCGGTTAAGGTAGCGCTGTTGATACAAGACGTGTACCCCCTTTTGCAGATATTGGACACTAAATTACTTGGAACAGTTAGATACTTAGGGCCTGAGCATTATTCATTCATTTTAATCACCACCTTCTACAAAAACCTTTATATACGACAGACCATCAGACAAATTGAAAGACTATAAGTATATAGTGCTTTGTGACCGGAACATTTTAGAAAAGTAGAACTTAAAGGGGCATTAGACGTCTAATTCATGTTCACTGATTTGACCCAAATTCTCATATTTGATTTATAGCATATATACTAAAAAGTATATCCAAATTATATAAAGTCTAAAATAAACAATTTGCGATGCATTGCTCTCTCTTTCTTTAATGTAGACCAGGTAAAATATGTTTTTTACAACCAATAAAATGATCCTCTTATTTCATGGATCAGATGTTGAATTGATCCCCTAGTCTGTTTTACATTATTAGTATTGATGTGATGGTATGTTTTCAGATCATCCTGTGCTTACATAAAATGTATTTATTATACCCTTCACCCTAATGACATGTACTCGATAATATGTATCAGCATTTCGTGTGTATTTAAGTGTAGACGTCATCTAATTAACCATCGAGGTGACCTCCGACGGTCATATAACCCGATATAAACATACATATAGATATTAATAGATAGCAAACACGTGCAATTGATTTTTCTAGGTCCGTTTCATATTAATGGTTAATATCTTAAGAATTTAAAGGGGCATTAGCTGTCTAATTCTGTTCACCGATTTAACCCAAATTCTCATATTTGATATATAACATACTAAAACGTATATCCAAATTATATAAAGTCTAAATTAAACAGTTTACGATGCATATACTCGATAATATGTATCAGCATTTCTTGTGTATTTAAGTGTAGACGTCATCTAATTAACCATCTAGGTGACCTCCGACGTCATATAACCCAATATAAACATAAATATAGATATAAATAGATAGCAAACACGTGCAATTGCTTTTTCTAAGTCTGTTTGATTTCATATTAATGGTTAAAGAAATTTAAATCATTGTTTTTACCTGTATAAGAATTCAGTGAACCAAATAGTTAAGCCTTGTTTCACTTTCAATGTGACATTCTTTTCCTTTTAATAGCTGAATACCCCTTGTTTATGCGCAACACATTTCTCGCCAAAGGGTTAAATCGAAGGTCATATGAATACGGATTCAATGAGGTCGAATTATTCCCTTGCAAGTGAATAATTCATCAGCGATGTTTCTTATCTGATTTTGACAAAATTGAACCAAACTGGCTGATAAAAGCGAATTGTTATTTCACTATTTCACTTTCACTAATGA